AATAAATTTTCTCACTTCTTTGAACATTTATAACTTAAATGTTCATGGATACTTAACCAAACTCGAGACCTTACTTGTCTCGACTCATTATTCTTTTTCTTTCTCATTCAAACTAGAAATGGCCAAATTTACATCCATTTAGCTAAATAAAATGGAATGTTACTTGAACTTGAACTTCATCTTAAATAACTTATTTCACTTCAATAAACATTAATGTGTAATTAATCCTTATAACTTGATCAATACTCAAAACTAAGATAGGCTCGAGAATCATTTGCTCGGTAATAATCTTAACTCGTAACTGAACATGCTTGGTTCGATTCACGACTTATTTTGAACAAGTAATAAAAATATACTCGATTTTTATTATTCGTCATCTTATTATAATTAATTCCATCTTATAAATCCATTTATAAAAATAAACAGACCGAAATTAATTAATTACTGAACTGGCTAAATAAAATTTAACCGAGAATACTTTCAACTTAAAGTCAACTTTTAACTGAATAACTTAATAACTGGGCTCGAAACTAGGAACGAGCATTGTTAATAAAAGTAATTAGTTCAAACTTAGAACTAATATAATTACTTTTATTAATTACTGAATGGGATATTACAATCTACCCCCCTTAAAACTATTTCCGTCCTCGGAAATACTGAAACTTAGATATATACTCACTATGTATATATATATATATCATAACTCGTAATCTGAAAAACGAGTGATAATATCAACTTCTCACTTTTGAGTGGCAATTAACTTTATATGTGGTGATCCCATTTCTACTAACGAGGATATATCTTACTTACTCAGCCAATGAACCTCATGGTCCAAACCTCATCTCAGCTGATCCTCGTAGTTAAATCTTTAAAATCTTTGTGCAAAAGCACATACTTTGGATCACACACTTAACTTTCATATAAACTTTATGCACACTGAATAACTCTAGAGAATAATTGATATTAAATACTTATCAGAATACTTTATGCGATACATTGTATATGATTTACCCACAACCCGGGGCCCTTCGGGTGCGGAACATCTATATACATTGTACCTTAATATAGATGTCACTTGTAAACTTTAACAAGTCACATTTCCATTATATACTCATAATTTATTATACTCAACTTGTTTCTCTTTCGAGAAACCTTATACTCAATATCACTATGGATATTTTCTAATTTCAACTTCTCCGACTTAACTATAGTCGAGAATTTCGTTGAAATTACCGATCTGTTATGGAATAATTTGACCATTCTCTTTTGGTCATATCATAATTCCGACCTTACAGGTAAACTTATTTACCTTTATTACTGCATCTGCATCGCAACATCTCGCTTGTTGCCGACATTTCATATCTGATTGCCAACATCTCTCATCTGATTGCAACGCATTAAATGCATACCAACTGCAATACTATCTTCGGCTCATCAACAATTGACATTATTGTTGACATATCACATCCTCTCTCTGCCGCATTAATGGCCTTCTGATTGCGTATTCTATCGATAGGTATAATTTAATCATACCTCGCAACTTATCTCATACTCATCTCCTCTTTATAACTCCTTCATTAATCCTTCCATCTTCCTCAACAATGGTCTGATTCATCAATGGATTTAGCATTGCTAAAAATCCGAAAATTCTATTCCTTTCTTCCTCTTAATATCATAAAGAGAATTTATCGAGCTCGAGTAGAAAGATTAAGAATACTCATGCTCAATAATATCCCAAATGATATAAGATGGTTGATCGAAGCAAAGGTCCGTATCTCTGGCGAATATCCCAACGCATACAAATATCTGTCAGGTATGGGTAAAAGCACTTTTGCTAAGAAACGTAGAGCAAAAAAAAGAATAGGCGGTTGCCATAAATGTGCTCGCTGGAACTGCGATACTCGCTGTACTTCCTTGGGCTTTGTTTCAAATAATCGAGAAGATAAAATAACCTTCATCAAGAATGGCTTGAGTAAGGAATCTCTGGATCAAACTCTTCCGCAGATTCTTGATACATATTCTAGTGGTTATGTGCATCGAGAACTGATGTCTTTATGGCTTCTGTTCAGACATGAAGAAAAACTTTATAGTCTGGAAAATATCATTTCCACTGATCATGTTTGTCAACACTGTTCTTGATGTCACTGTCGTACTGTACATAAATTTTATCGCTTCCGACAGATAAGAGTCATTTAAGACTCAACTGCTTTCTTGTCTGAACTTTTCTTCTTTAAAAAGCAAATCTATCTTCTTAGCCAATTATTTCTCATAATAAATGGCTACTGCCGAGTCTTCTCAAGGTTCCAAACTTCTTCAGCCCCTCCGAACTGTATGCATCCTTGGTGGTTCCAAATTTGTAAATGTTCCTCACAACATATATGTTGTAAGCCAACTCGTAAAAGAGTTGGGCAAACATAACATCAACATATTTTATGGAGGAACTAGTATTTACTTCTTTAACAACCTCTTAATGGCTGCTAAATGCTTTGACATCCAGGTGAGAAGTATCCTTCCTTTTTATCTCACTTCATCAAAGGTCGTTAAAGATTCTGCTACTTTGATGATTACTCTTTTCATTTATGACAGTTTAATGTCCATAATATCTAGTTGTGATGCTTTCATCATTCTTCCTGGTGGATATGGAACTTTAATGACTGCATTGACCCTTGCTACTTGGGCAGAAATGAAATTTCATACCAAACCCATTGGTTTGTTAAATTTCAATAACTATTTCCACCACTTGCTTGGATTTCTAGATGAAGGAGTGTATCAAACTTTTATATCTCCCTTTCAAAGAGAAATATTCAAGTCTGCAAACACATCCTCTGAACTCATCCAAAAGCTTCAAGACAGCATCTCAACAGTTCAAGATTCTGTGGAAACTCCAGGATACAAACGCAAGCGAGCATTTGATCCTTTAAATCTATCTTTGTGAACTCCAGCCATACTGGGTGGCAGAGTTATGGAGTCTCGTGCTCTTGAGACGCACCCTCCCTTTATGCAATATAACTTTGTATTTGTTGAGGATTCTCTTTTACTTGTCCGTATCTCCATTTTCTATTATTTCTATAATATCTCTTAGAAATAATAAAATCCTCAACAGTGTGCTTGCATCTTTGCATAATTCTCAACTTTCAATGATACTAGAATTTCTATGTTTTTCTCAAAATCTTATTCTTCTTCTGATATATGCTTGATTCACATATCAATATTACTCGATTCTGACTGCATTAACTTCTTGATTTAATCAAGATCTTAAATTTCTTAAACTTTACTCAGTTGTGGTCTTAAAACCTTGCCTCTCGGCATTCTAACTTCATAACTAGCACAGTATAACCATTAATAAATAGCTATACCAAACTTTAAGGAAATTGTTAATTTTCCGAAAACACCTAGCTTGTGTTAGAGTTCCGGTTAATCTATCTTTTCTTACTTCTTCTCGCCATTTCTCATTTATGGCCTTAAACTCATCATTTATACTCATCTCTCTTTGGGGACTCATATTTCCTCCAAAGAAACATCTTAGTCTTAAAAAGACTATCTTTAACTTTAACTTTTTCATATCCAGATTAATCTTGCTTATCTTTAAAATTCTTCTGAGAACTTAAATACTTATCTCAGTATCTGGAATGTATTTCTAACATCTTTTAGGGTTCGATTTCAAGTCTCCAGGTAATTCGGACTTAATATCCCTTATTTCAGGTTTCCATAATTTCCCCGGCTTCATGACTATTATATGTCGATACCTTAATCTTTATACTCATTCATTTCTAAAAAGTACTATGTAGACTTATTCTTATTCTACAAGTACTAATAACTTATAACTTCATCTTGAAACTCATGATATCCCAATGATCAGATATCAAAATTTCTGATTTATAAAGATTGAACATTTTTCTTGAAACTTTACTTCTTACGGTTTAGTTTTCAAGCCTACAGGATCTGATCCGGCCTTTTGGTTCTTATTTCAAACCTCCATGATCTTTCCCTGTACTTATTGGCTATTATAAACTGAAATACCGTTACTTCTTAGCTTAAATTCCTCATCAATCTTTATAATCATTTCTTAACTTGAATCTCATTGTAAATCTTGATAATCATATCATAATTTACATCTCATTCGTATATCTTTAGTCTTTTATGATCATATCATACCTTAAATCTCATCTTTACATCTTCATCTTTATGATCATTTCATAACTTGAATCTTATTCTTATGGCTTAACTTGAAATGTTCAAGTTCATATTCTTGATCTAGTTAACTTGATAAACTAGATTTCACTTTAATACTTGAACATATATGTACAATTTACTAGAGTTTGTACATCCGATTTCTTATTGAGCATAGACTTAGTAAATTTGAATATATTGAAAAACTTGTATAAAACTTTTAACAGCACTTACCTGGTAGTCGACGAGGTGTGAGCGTGGTGTGGTCGGTTTGTCTTGAAACTTCTTGTAAAAACTTTGTCTTTTCTGAAAACATTCTCTTTCAGAACTTAAACTTTTAGTATACAGAGCATTTAAAACTCTAGCTCTGATACCACCTGTAACACCCCGCTTATCAGAGTAAATTTTTCGCAACTTTTACTTCGAATATACTTAACTCTTTCGAAATCTTTTGCGACTAACTCGGGATGCTACTCAAACTCATCATCTTGAAAATCCGTTTATCTTTAAACTTTTTGTCTAATACTTCTTTAGACATAGTTAAAACAGATTTCCTTTAAACTTGCATTTAAAATACCATAATCATATTTCTCATAATGGTAAAAACTTGGAATCTGAAATTCATTAAAATGCAAGTTCAAGTCTCAATATGCGTAGCGGAAATACTTTTAAAACGTAGTTAATTATACAGACTGTTTTAAATGTCCGTATCAAAGCTTGTCTTCATCTGAATCCACGATCCACACCAACACTGCTCCACTCACACCTCCTCTTCGACCTGTTACCTGAAACTAAAACTCATGGGGGTGAGTAACGAATATGGATAATCATAAACCGATATTCATCGGCAACTCAAACTTTTCTCTTCTCTTTCCGATAGTTAGTCGGATACGTGTGCACACTCTGATGGATATTTCTCAGGCAACTCAGCGGCCTCCATCAGAACTTAGGAAGTACTCGTAAGGCAACTCGGCGGCCTTCTTCCCAAGCGTAATAAACTCATAACTTTAGGATATACTCATCTAATGGATATTTCTCAAGGCAACTCAACGGCCTCCATTAGAACTTTAGGATATACTCCGAGACAACTTAATGTCTCCTCATCCCATATGACATCAATATCGTACTCAATGTGATACCCGTTCAGGGTCCCCACCTTTTCATCTTTGAAATCGTTTGTAACTCGATAAGTGCTGTGCTGTAACGGAATCTGCAAGTTACATCAATATAAACAAATATACTAAGTACTATGCTCGTATACTCAATAAGATTTTAGGATTCTTAACTCATCCCATCTTATAGAAATTCATCAACATGCTCTTTCTCAAGTTAACACTTAACTTAACTTTTCTTTTATCTTTTACTCAAGGTCAATTACTTAACCTTATAAATCATGTCTTCATAAACATCAATATGGTATTAAACTTATCATGTCATAACTCAAATGTGAAAATAACTATATTTCACATTTATACTTGATTAAATACTTAACTTTTAACATCCTCATCAAGATATATAAATTCATCTTGATCTTTAACTTAATCAAGTACTTAATCCATCTCCCAATTTATAGATATTGGCTTATACTCACTTTTCACTTAAATAACTTGAAAGTGAAAATAAACTCAAGCATACTCATCTCATCATTTAATGATATTAATATGCCATATTTAATACAATTTTTATAAAATTGTATACTCAACATATTAAATCAAAACTTTGTCAAATTGCTCATCACTCATATGAGAATAAATCATGAAAATCTCATTTTAACAATTTGAACATATCATAAATATTCTTGCATATATATATACTCATCTTCACATATATGCCTTCTAATATTCATAACTCACTCATTTCTCATCTTTAAATTATGAAACTTAACAGTCATAATCTCAACTTATAATTAGACATGTCATCAAAATTTCATAATTTTATCATGCATATATCTCGACTTATTCAAGTTTAAAGTTGCTGCTGGAAACAAGTACATAAAATTCAGCTTGCATGATAAACTTTAAAAATTCATATCTTAAGCTATACTTTGCCAAATAACTTAATTCTTGCTCTCATGTACTCCTCTTTCACATAAGAATCATTCATTTAAATCATACTTCTCCAGCTTATTCATATCTTTATCAATATCTCATCAAATCAAGCACATATATCATATAATATAATTGATCTTGAATATCTTTAACTCTTTATATTCATCGAATCAATTATAAACTTAACTTCTTTATCATGTTATACATACTTATAAACATGTAAACTTAACATCAAAACATGAACTTGATCATAAATCTTTAAGGTAAGAAGATTACCTCCTTCCTGCTAGAATCGAACTTCTTCCTAGCTTCTTACTTCAACTCTTCTCAAAATTCTCACTACTTATCTCTCTTTCTCTCTTTATATCTTTTGATACTTTGGTGTGAGAACTCTGATTTTTATGCCTCTATTTATAGGCACAATTTGGACAAACATCCAAATAGAGTGAATTTTTGTTCATAATAAACAAATGTAACTTATATCTTTAAATACTCATAAACAAATGTAACTTATATCTTTAATTACTCATAAAATATTTTATGATCAACTTATTCAACTCTCCAAACATATTATATACTTAGAAATTTCCTTTGGATAATTTGGACAAACATCCAAATAGAGTGAATTTTGGATCATAATAAACAATACAAACTTGTAAAAATAAATATAGATAATAAATAGTATTCTTAACTTGTAAACTTCTCCAACTCATAGTCAATGCTTAGAAAGGCCCCTCTTATGATCCTAATCTGATCTTAATGATTAAATTCGAGATTTAGTGAAAATTCTCCAATTTACGGAACCAAATTCTGACTTAAAACGAACAGTTACCGTAAAATCGAAAATTCTTACAGTTTTCGAATTTCCTTCTTTTCTTTTGGCATTTTTCATTTTTATGCTGAAAAATTTTTCTTATCTTGTATTCTACTAAAAATATAGAGAGAAAATAATTTAATGTATTTCTCGGAACTGAAATCGGACATAAATTCCAACTACAATCGAAAACCGAAAAAAAACGAAAATTCTAAAAAATTTCATATTTCTCTCTAATAATTTAAATAGACTAAAATGTCTAAATAAATTTTCTCACTTCTTTGAACATTTATAACTTAAATGTTCATGGATACTTAACCAAACTCGAGACCTTACTTGTCTCGACTCATTATTCTTTTTCTTTCTCATTCAAACTAGAAATGGCCAAATTTACATCCATTTAGCTAAATAAAATGGAATGTTACTTGAACTTGAACTTCATCTTAAATAACTTATTTCACTTCAATAAACATTAATGTGTAATTAATCCTTATAACTTGATCAATACTCAAAACTAAGATAGGCTCGAGAATCATTTGCTCGGTAATAATCTTAACTCGTAACTGAACATGCTTGGTTCGATTCACGACTTATTTTGAACAAGTAATAAAAATATACTCGATTTTTATTATTCGTCATCTTATTATAATTAATTCCATCTTATAAATCCATTTATAAAAATAAACAGACCGAAATTAATTAATTACTGAACTGGCTAAATAAAACTTAACCGAGAATACTTTCAACTTAAAGTCAACTTTTAACTGAATAACTTAATAACTGGGCTCGAAACTAGGAACGAGCATTGTTAATAAAAGTAATTAGTTCAAACTTAGAACTAATATAATTACTTTTATTAATTACTGAATGGGATATTACATACGCTCCGTCACCAATGAACAAATCCTTTTTTTCTTATTAGTCCCAATCAAGTAAAGAAACCTAGGTAGCAGCACAATATAGCACTCCAAAGCCTTTTTGATATCAACATCACTCTCAGGTGACCGTAGACTATTGTAAGCACATAGAATTCTTTCATTGATTGAAAGTCTTCCAAGAATCCAATGTCGAACACCATCAATCATAGTATGAATAGGCATCAAAACATGATCTACTAACATCCAGTGCCTTCCACGTATTATTTTGAAACCAGACATATAATCAACACTATCATTGTCGGGAGAGATAACATGACAAGAATCAGAATGAGAAAGAAACTTATCATATGAATTCTTCATTCTTTGATCAAACAAAATATCAGTCGCAGTAACACTCTCAACAATACTCGGCAGATGATGAAATGCCATCTTTCTCAGATAATAAAAAATCACATCAATATGCTGAAAAAAAAAATTAATAAAAAAAAATATTAAAGCAAACATAGACATGAAATGTACAATAAAAACAACTAACAATTTACTTAAATAAAACTTGGTAATAAATAAAAAAATTAAAAGGTAACATACCGTAGAATCAAGAAATTTGTGACAAGTATCAAGATTCAAAAACCATGCTTTTCATCAATAGTCATTATATTAAAATCAAATGCAGGATTCAAAATGGTAGATCTCTTGAAGTAGTATATCTACCTGACGAAAAAGTAGTTAGAAGAATTAATAATATTTTAAATGCGAAGTATAGTATGGAAAATAAAGAAACAAGAATGGTACACAAGAAATTACCCATAATCAGTTTTCTTAGGTGGAATAAAATAAACCCATTCGCAACCAAAGTTTCAAAACCCTTATAAACAGGGTTATGTAGATCCCAGAAACATACATCAAAAGGACACAATCCAGACTTTTTAAATAATATAAACAATGTAATAGAACAGAAGGTTGTCGAAACGAAAAAATACCTTCAGAGGAGCATCCGAGATGTGTTTGTCAAGAACGCGAGACTGATTTTTTATATAAGTTTTGGAGATCTTTGAATCTTTTTTCTAAGAACACCCCGAAAAAGATATTTTCGGTCTTCATTCTTCGATTTCTAATGAAAATTAGGAACCCTCGATTGCGAGACAATTTCATCTTCGGACATAGAATGCTCAGAACTCAGATAATCTTCACTACACTCTGAATCAGATACATATTCTGAAGAAGAAACATGATTTTTTTTTAACCTAATGCCCGGTACTAACCATTAAAAAATCAAATAAGACGATAAAGAACCAAAAAACTGCATAAGAAACTGAACCAACACGTCTATCGAGTTTTTTAAAAAACTGTCAGACACGCAACTGAAAAAAAAAAATTAATTAAAAAACCAGAAGTGAGAAAACAGTTATTAGAGACAGGGTAGTCTACAAAAGAGAGTATTAGTGGAATCACGTTTTGCATTTTTTTTTTCCCAAAACGATAGAGGAAACTATATTAACTCAAAGCGAACATAGTTCGAATACAAAGTCATCAACCAACCGAAAATAGAAAAGTGAGAGACTCGCAAAAAATCGGTCTAGAACCTCAACAAAGAGCAACCGAAACTAAAAGAAAAAGGAAGATAAAGGAGCTAAGTCCCTGCCACTGCTACAAAGCCTAGCAAGGGACTTATCTCATACAAAACCAAAACAAACAAAACTAAGAACTAGAAGCAGCAACAGAAAAATCCATCCAATCTGCCTGTGCAATCAGAATGAGTTTGTGCTCCGATATTAAAGTTTTTTGGAAAATCCACAAGGTCCTCTGTAACGCCCCGAATCAGTAATAATATTAAGAACGGTTTCACTGCTCGACTATAAGTGAAATCCGTAATTTTCAGAAATATCCGAGTTATGTTTTATATGTTAAATGCTCAATTATGTTAGATTATTCTTTGAAATTTTCTATGTCAAGTTAAGGCCAAGATCAATCCATTCATTTGGATTAATAAATGATATTTATTCGACTTGAGAAATTATTTGGCTTCGAACCCTAGTTTCATCCCGAGTCATTTTCCAAGACATTTACGAGCATAGCCGAGCCATAGCATCTTGATACTTAGAATATTTTCTAAGTGTATTGAAGTATCAAAGTTCAAACCTTGGTCATAATTCTCGAGCCTAGCCATTCCCGAGCCTCTCGAGCCAAGCCCGCGCCTTTACCCGCGCCAAAGCATGTGCCACCGAGCCCAAGACCTTGTCCTAAGTCCTAGCATCTTTTGCAAAATTTTCTAAGTGTTGAGAACCCCATCTATTCCCTTATAACCGGCCCAAGCATGGAGGACGCGCGTAGCCCGAGCACCCAGCACCTTGGCAGCCCGCGCGCCCAGCCCAAGGTGCCGCGCCCAGCAATCCCGCGCCAGCCCTTGCGCAGCCCACCAACCGAGTCCAATGTGTGGTGTTTTGGCCCATGTCCTCCAAGCCCAATGCCATGCGGATATTAGCAGATGGATTAGGAGTTGATTCAGCATCATTAGCTCTAAACAATGCCTAACCAAAGTCAACTAATGCTTAAACTAAGTGGATGACAAGTTAATGATTATTTTAATGAACTAGTGGAAGACTTGTCCCCTTGTCTTGATCCATATCTGACCAGACCTCTCCACCAGACCCTAATGCTCTAAAAACCCTACCATTCCACCCAAGGAGCCATGCAAACCGTGCCTAAGGCTACCCAAGTCCCCATGCGCATGGGTTAATGCAAAGTCATGGACTTTTGTCTCCCACCTTCTCACTTGGTAACCTCTGCACCTAGACACAAATCAAAGCCCGAGCACAACACTTAGAAATTGAGAGAAAGAGAACCGAGAGCCTCGCCCAGCCCTACCGCACGCGCGCGCTACCCGGGAGGAGGAACCATCGAGCCTCAGCCATCTCTAGCCATTTCCTCACGAGGCTTAGCAACTTCTAAGTATTTCTTAGATTTTTCTATGTCTTTTGAGCTTATTAGACTCAGCCATATCCACCAAAAATTGAGCTAAACCTCCAAGAGCCGTGAGCAATCCCGAGCAAGCCCTAGCAAGCCATTTTTCTTTTTCGGTGAAGGTTAGCCTGAGCCATCTCTTTCTCATAGCTATTTTATGATAAAATAAGATTTATCATGAAGAAAAATCAAGCCATGCACGTAAAATTCCATGAGTTTCGATTTTTAGGAATTTAATACCTTAATTTCGAAATTTGAGTTGCATGCATGCCTAAGTCGAGATTGATAGTTTAATCACCCTCATATATTATGTCCTTGATGATGTAAAAGTTTGAGCATGATTAGATATCATTTCCTTGGTCAATTTGTTCATGAAAATGTGCTATTTTGGACCCCCGAGCCTTAGTATTATGCTTGCAAGTTTAACTTATCATTCCAGCCTCATTCACCATGCTTTTATATGTAATATATTCGGCCATGTTCATATGTTTAGGATTATCAAGTTGGTTCAGAGAGTTAGTGCTTGTAGGTGCCATATAGGCCCGGTAGGCGCGAGGCACAGCCCACGCACACGCGACCGCGCCCACAGCGCTCAGTCTGTGTTCGTGTGCCCAGCATTGGCGCAAGTCGCGGCCAAGCAGCATGCACGTGCCCGGCAGCGCCGTGCCAGTCCCAGCGCACGAGGCCTTGCGCCAGAGCCTCGTGTCGTGTCCAGTGCCGACCCGAGATGGGTCTGCTGAGCCCAGTCGGCCTCGGGACGTGCCCAACAGCACGCCCGAGTGACCAACACCCTCAGGGACGCCCGACAGAGCCCTCATTGCCTCA